CAGGATCGCCCGCCGTATCGCCGCGACGCCAGCTCCGCCCTCCCAGATTCTTATGGGACAAAGAGGCAGTGTCCATCCTGATCTGTTTGGGGAAGGGATGATGCAGCTTTGCTTACTCCTCTAGTAGCCTACCAGATCAGGAAGGAATCCCAGTGCACACAGTTAGAGAAATGCCTCTATTAGCCACATTTTGGGAAAGAGCATCCTTGGAAGAGATCTGGGAGGTAGTCACCTGAGTTTTGGTTATTACCTTCTCTGAGCATTAAAGAACTGATTCCTTCACATCTGTAGAAATTTGCTGGGGAACCAATTGGCCTAGTTATGATGCATTGCTCTTTCAGAACCCTACGGTAAAAACCAGAAATTCTATATTTATCCATGAATTTCTTCTCTTCTCAAAGAAAGGAGATTAGCTAGATCTGCTCTGGGTCAGTGAACATCCTGGGTTCTTGTTAAGTTTCTGTTATTCAAGGAATCTTCAAAATCCTCCACTTCAGTTCAGTGTCAAAGGTGGTCTCTCAGAATTACTACCAGCCTTATGTCCTGTCAAAGAAATGGAAATTATTTTCCTAGTCTCCATAGGTAGGGTCTTCTTCAAATTAACTGCTTTCATTCACTTAAGTAAAATGAGAATTCATGGAAAATATATAATTTGTATTTCTAAATGCTTGCTGTCCTACTAGGAGATGCCAAAGGACCAAAATCTGTGCTATTGGGTGGTAATAGTCTAGCTATTTCTGTTTTCCCAACTTTATTTTGTCCATGAGTTACTAGTCTGGGAGCCCCTAAAAATGGTGATTGTCAAATTTTACTTTGGAATGTTCACTCAGACTGATATAAAATAGACTACACTTATTCATCTTATAAATATTGTTTGAACTGTGTATTAAACATAAGAATAGATGGAATGCTAATAATATTTTACTTCATTGTTTTCCTTAGGCTTGCCTTTTGTTACAGCTTCAAACAAATTTGAAGCCCTTGCAGCTCATGATGCCTTGGTTGAACTCAGTGGTGCAATGAATACTGTGGCTTGTAGCTTAATGAAGATAGCTAATGATATTCGTTTTCTTGGATCTGGACCACGATGTGGTCTAGGGGAGCTTATCCTGCCTGAAAATGAACCTGGAAGTAGTATTATGCCAGGTAACCTTGCCAAAGCTTTATTGTTAACTTTGGGCTGATAGATATTGAAAGACTGGCAGTATAATAGATATGTATTGTCGAAGGCTTTCACGGCTGGCATACGATGGCTGGTGTGGGTCTTCCGGGC